CAGGGTCTCCCTGTGTAGTCCTGGCTGCCCTCAAACTCACAGAGATCCACCTGCCTCTGCCTCCAGAGTGCTGGGATTAGAGATGTGTGCCACTGCCTCCAGAGTGCTGGGATTAGAGATGTGTGCCACTATCCCCAGCTCTTATTTTTGTTTTTCTGAGTCAACAGCCTTATCAGTAAAATGAGGGCATTTTACTTCCATTGAGTTATTGTAAAGAAATAAATGTCTCATATACTACCTTCACTTAGTGGGAAATTCGTAATTAGTGGGTGCACCTGATAAAGGCAACATCTTAGTACCTGATGGTCCTTGCGTGACCATTGTGGTCCACGATACTCCCTTTCCCTAAAGACCTGATAGAGCTACTAATTGTTTTCTGGTCTTTAGATGCCATTGATGCAATGAGATCTTACGTACAGAGACCTCATTATTTCCTTCCTATGCATCAGGCAGCATCTCAGGCACATGAAAGGTGTCCTTCAATCCTCATTGAAAGAAAATATTTCCTGCAGGTTCTGTGTCACACTAATGACACAGCTATTGGTCCAGGCTTATCTTCCCTTGGGAGTAAAAGAACTGTGTCTTCTCACTAAAGCTGCAGGGTTGGACTTTCCTCCCTGATGTTTTAATGATTAAAAAGTAGTTGTCTAAGCCTTTAGTTGTATTTATTTTGGGGGTAGTTAGGGAAAGGCCCTCATGTTTGCTCTCTTTTCCTCTGGCTAACTAGAATACTCCAGACACTATTGTACTGGGAGATTCTGTAAATCTACAAATACAGAATTGCATACGCTCCTATCCAGAGCTATCCTACACCCATCCTGCCTCAATAGCTATTTATATTTGTAGAGGCCTAACCTGTTTATGACCTGTTCTCTTCTCTTGAGTGATGGTAGGCAGATCTCTCTCTCTCTCTCTCTCTCTCTCTCTCTCTCTCTCTTTCTCTCTCTCACACATACACACACACATATGTGCACACGCACGCGAGCGGGCAACAATAAGAAATGAATGAGCTAGGTTTCTAAAGTTTGTGCTATATCATCCCAATTTCTGTAGATAGGTACATCTGTTTGAGGCATTTTCAATGTCAGTTCATACAAAATCTGTACTCTCTTATTTTCTTTTCAAATTGAGATCAATTTATATTGGTTTCACAGGTTAGAAATCATTTTGTGATAAATATGTCAAACTTATCACTATTCTGTCTTTAAAATCAATAATTTAATTACATCATCTAGCATGTCAGCCAATTCCTTTCCTGTACTTGTGAAAGAGAAAACCTTTTCCATTTCTCGTTTGCCAGATGTTTAATACTTGCTGCTAAACATTATTTGAATCTTTAAGGCAAAGAAGGAAAAGAGCTATGGCTATAAAAGGGCCATTTTGCAGGTTTAAAAACTATAGATGAATACTGAATCCAAGAGAAAAAAGTTTTGAAAAGGAAGCTTGGGAGACTAGAAAGTTGGTGTCAGGCACTCTGCCTTCTTAGGATGAAGCTGGGGCTGTGCAGACAAATGCTTTAGACATACCAAATTGCTGTGACTAACAAATGAAGTTGCACTCCCTTTGTATGTTACAATGTGAAACTTGCATTGGCTATTTCTTTAAATACTTCACCAACTTTAGTTCTGCCATGTTGCTTTTGTCATTTGTGCTTATATTTTAAATAATTGAAAAAACTAAGAGACAGTGTCTCACTATGTTGCCTAGGTGGGTCTCAAACTCCTAAGCTCAAATGATCCTACTGACTCACAAATAGCCTCACAGTGCGTACCACTGTGCCTAGCTTGTCACTTATGTTTAGATGTGACAGTTAATGAACATGACATCTGCCTCACAAAAGGTAAAGAGATTACAGTTAATATTCATAAAATACATTTAAAGAAGTGGGTAAGACCTGTTTGAGAATTTTGTGAAGGCTAAATATATTGGACTCTTGAGAAGAATGCTCATACAAAATTTTCAGGACTCTCATGAACCTTTAGCCCACTGTGGACTCCTAGAAGATCCTCTGGAGACCATAGGTCAAGAACCATCCTGGGCTACATAGAAATACCCTGTCTAAAAAACAAAACAAAAACAGGTGTGGAATGATGCACAGTGTCTCTGTTCTTTGAACCCAATTCCAAATATGAAATGTAGGTAATAAAAGTCAACATTGTAATTATAAAGCTCAAATAATGATATCTGTATTTCTTCTGTTCTGGTGAAAGTTTCTTAACCCTGTACCCAGTAATCCATTGATACCTAAAACTTCAGGCATCAGCCAAGAAGGAGCTGACACCTCCCTTGAGTTTAAATGTGTTCCAAGAGTTTACACAACACCAAACTAAAGACTGACATCTCAGTAAACCCCCCTTTTTAACTACAGGAAATGATGAGAGAGTAGCAAAGTATGTAAAGCCTCCTAGGAGAGTGATAAAGTCATTTGACTGTAGCTAAGTGGCTCAGAGCCGTTCCTGAGAGTTTGGGAACATCTAAGATTAGTGTTGGGATCTAGAATGAAGTGAATGCTTGAGGTTCTTGGCTCCTTACCAAGGTTTATAAACCTGGAGGGGAAGAGCAGCAAAAGAAAGATGAGAGGAAGAGAGAAGTGCGCACCTCTTCTGTTAGGTAAAGCAAGAGGCTGTGCATGCTAGAGCTCATATTTTCAAGACTGTTCTCCAAACCACCTAAAGTTTACCCCTCAAGATTTACAAAAGCTGTCTTTTAAACTAATATAAAGAGAGTGTTGCACAACTCGTAGTATTGATTATAGATGCAATCATTTTAAATTAAAAGTTATAATTTTTGCCTTAAAATATATCTAGGAGCTGGCGAGATGACTCATTGAGTAAAGGTACTTGCCACCAAGCTTGATGACCTGAGTTCCCCTGAGACCCACGTGGTGGAAGGAGTGAAAAGACTTGCAAATTGTCCTCTGACCTTTACATGCGTGCTATGGCATATTCAAGCACATACACGTTACACACACACACACACACACACACACACACATATATATAGTCCTTTACCACTCCCTTATAATATTTTAAAAGGTGGTTGCTAGAACAAAATTTCAGCACATCAAATGAATTTAACCAGTTTTGAGAATTTTTGTGATAATATTTTTCACTTTTCTACATTTTTTCTTTACTAACATGGGTGATAGTGGTACGTAGTATTTTCAGTATTCTAGTTTCTTAATATTTCATTTTAATAATAGAACTGTATTTTCCTCCCTTGGTACTGAGCAAGAGAGAGAGAGAGAGAGAGAGAGAGAGAGAGAGAGAGAGAGAGAGCTCAACCTCCAAAGGGAAAA